GACCTGCCAGCCAGTGGCTTGTCCTACTTCTTCCTGGGCTTGAACTCCCAGATACTTAAGTCTTAGGGAGGAAAAAGTGCAAATCAATAAAGGCATCCCTACAGCACGAAAAGTCAGAGTTACACCAAGGAGAAGGACCAGTCAACATATTTTTTTAATTATTACCGTGGCAAGGCTATGATTAGCAATAGCTACAGCAATACTGTTAGTTTCAGTGTGCGTATAAGCAATAATCACACAGCACCTTAAGCCTGAGCATCCCCAGGAAGCAGCACAAATTCACCACGCCACTCAACTTCAGCAGCTCAACATTTGCAGTTGCCCCCCCAAACGTGACCCCACAGACCAGACAGCAGCAGCCACAATGTCTCAGGCAACCCAGCCAAGCAAGCAGGGGAAACACTAGTGCCTCATTAGCCAGGTTTTAGCAGGGAAACCAACTCAATGTAAGCTGACTTTGGTGCAAGAGCTCCCCAGGGTTGCTTTATGCCCACAAGGCAGCGTTTAGGGGCACTAGAAAAATATTTCTCCATAAAGATCAAGAACATCAAATACTCTCCCCAGACTACACCATGGGCACAGCCCCCCACCTCCCTGAGCCACCTTAGCTACTGGGACATCCTCGTGGAAGGGAGCAGCAAATATCTGGGATTACACATTAGCCAGAGCAGCCGCACCAAGGTCCCCGGTAATAGGAACGGTTACGAGACAGAAGGAAAAAGCAGTCAGTCACACTGTTAATGTGTAACATTCGTGCCACCTTTACCTTGCCTTCTGCTTGCCTGCTTTTTGGGTGTCAGCATCTGCCAGAAACCCCAGGGAGAGAGCAGCCCAGGCAGCAACACCTGAGGAAACCCCCAGGCAGGGCTTATGTACCTGGGGGGGCAGAGAGCAGGGCAGGTGGTGAGGGAGGAGGGGTGGGCAGCCTCGTTTGGCACCTGGCCGTGCCCCTGCATGCAAGGAGGACACTTTCCCTGGACTCAGGAGGGGCCTTGATGAGGGAAACCTGGTGAACTTTGCTCTCAGGAAAGGTCCCTCCGATGCTCTTCTCCAGATGGTCCTGACTGTGCAAACTCCTGCTGGGGCTGTCATAGACCTCAGAGCCCCCTCTCTCCCCCTTCCCCCTGTTTGCAGACCCTCCTGCTCCCCATCCCCTCCCCAGATCACCCTTCCTTCCCACAAAGTGATGTCCAGTTCCCTTTCACACTTCCTCAGCAACAGGGATGGCTGTTCTCCTCCTCATCATCATCCTCGCATCCCCCTTTTCCTGGCAGAAAGGCTGTGGCAGGTATGTCCACTGTGGCCCCCAGAGCACAGGTGTTAACGTTGGGCTTCAAGGTGCAGAGCTGTAGCGAACAGGGTTAGTCGGTCCCCCAGTCGGGGCAGCCCCCACAAGAGCGGCACTGTTCCGCTGGGGACAGAGCTCGACTTTTCTTATCACTAGATTTGTATCCCGTTTCCATGGAAATGAAAGAACCTGGGCAGTAAGCCCCCTCCCAAGTCAACTTTGAACAACCCTTACAGTATTCTCTGTCATGCTGTCACTTTGAATGTGTCACGTTTTTCCCAGGGAAGTCCTTGGAGCACGTGGCACTGTTGACCTGCTCCAGCTAGAGTTTTGCTGCGGCACGCCAGTGTGCCGAACGCCGGACGTACCTGGGAAGGTCGGCAGCCGGTGCTTCCAATGGCACTGAGGTTTTGCGTAGGGAAGCCCAGGTAACGTCATTAGTGATGGGCAAGTTCAGCTGAAAAGTGGTGAAAACAGTTGAAAAATGAGCTAAGCAGCACTTTATTTCAGCTCCCGGATCTCCTGGAGCAGCCCTGTAGCCAGAGTCCCATCTTCATCAGCTTATTGGGGATGATATTAGGTCAAATCCTCCCTGGGCACTTCCCAAGAAGCCCCTGAAAAGGCTGATGCCACCCCCACCTTACCAGCCACTCCCGCAACTTCTCCTTTGATGCCAGCCAGCACCACAACCTGTGTCAGCAGCATCCCCACCAACAGCCTCGCTGATCCCTACTGACAGTGATGCCGCAGCCACGCTCCCATCCGCTCCTGCCGCGCTGGGGCCCGGGCGCCTGGAGATGGACGAGTGATTGATGGGGCGCCCGCGATACGCCATGATACGCTCCTTATCTGTGGTTTCCCAGTTGGTTCCCATGTCGCTCGCGGGGTTTACAGCATCAATGTCACTTTCTTTCCCTTGGTTTTCTGGTTTTTTTAAACCTGCTTTGGTTCTTTCACACCTATGTGTGTACCCCAGTGAATCTGTTTCATCTTCAGGATTAGTAAAATTGGACAAACAGTCCTGGGCAGACTCATCTTTCCCAGCTGTGCATGGGCGAGAGGTGCGTTTGAACAGATGGGTACCTATTTTTCATGGCAGGTCTGCTGAGAGCTAAATCCATCTAAAGCAACTTGCATAGGAATTCTTAGTCAAATGTCGCGATGGCAAATACCGTACAAAAACTTGGGTGCACATAGAAAGACCAAGGTTAGTTATGGAGAAAGAGAAGTGGATGGACAGGCTTCATTAAGAAGGGAGAAGAAAATCAGTCTGAGTGGAGCATCATTGGTACCACCAGGAGATTCCTCCCTCTCCCCCTTCCTGGGCAGACAGCTCTGCTTCCCAGGGACATGGACCTTCACTTGAAAACACTGGGAAACTTCCCCACCCTGTATCAACAGCACTGGCTTTGTTAGGCAGGTGAGAGCAGGACAAGCCCACAGCATCCCCACAGAGTCCCCAGAGCTTGTGTCAAACTGCCAACCTTATGAGACCTCTCTGCTCCCCACCAGCCCCCCGGCACGCCGCCTCCCATGGGCAAGGGCTGGTGTCTGAGCACAGACATCGTGACTGGAGGCTGTTGTTTCCCCATCAGCCCGCCCCCAGCACCAGCCTCTGTACCCTGCCAGCTCTGACTGACACTTGCTCCTGCTCCTCCCCATCGCAGCCCCCAGGAAAAAATAAAATAAAATAAAATAAAATCACGAAGAGTGGATGCCCACTTCCAAATCAAACCTGGCCAAAAGGGGCAATTCACATCTACCTCTCCATAGGCTTCATCTTTCCCCTCCCCTCTTCCAGCCAGCCAAGACACTATGAACAAGAGCCAGAGCGAGCCCCCGTCCCAGCGAGCGGGCTTTGCTGCTGCCAGATTGCGCTGTGTGCTCAAACCCGCAGGGACAACCTGCGGCCATCTGTTAATCCCAGGTGTGTACACGCCGCGGCTCTGCCGGCAGAGATAGGCTTCTCCTGGCTCCTCAAACACACCGGTCACCCGACTCAGTGTGCGTGGGGGTTGTTCAAGTGACGTGTGGGTGTGCTCCCCCATCCCCTCTCTCACCTCTTCCATCACCGTCCCTGGCATCAAAGGCTTAGGTGGTCAACAGGTTGTCTTTTTTATTCACTATAAAAAACAGGCTGGAACAAGGGACAACTCAGTCCAGACTTCATGGAAACTGTTCCTGCTCTTCACTGAAACCTGACAGGCATGTCTTGACACACAGTGCTGTATGAGCACCTTCCCCGAGCTCTCATCCTCTCCAGGAGAGAAGGTCCTTCTGGTCATTTTGAATTCCTTCACATTTGTGAATGGAGTGGGCGTGTGTGTACGAAAAGTGGAAATATATGCCTTCGGCCAGGGAAATCTCGGGTTTATTTCACCCTACCTGATCAGCTCTGATCATCCCAAGCCCAGGCACCAGCCCTTAGCGTTTCCCTTTGATTTGCAAGAAAAGACTTGTCCCAGGATTTAGGAACTTCTCGGGAATGCTTGGGCTCACGTCTGCCCCAACTTGTGCAGCCAGCCCAGGTTCTGGATCTGGTCTTAACTGGCACAGATGCCCACACCCTCTGGGGACCGCAGCCCAAAGCTCAGCTCCTGAGAATGGGTCTCCCCGGAGCCCGCGGTTGTATGCCAGCGGTCCATGTGTCTTCAGGTCCCCTTGGCCATATCCAAGGCTTCCCCTCTGTGCACCATCGGGGCAGCCTTTGGACAGGCCAAAGCAGCGTGGGCTGGCTCAGAAACACTGGCAACGGGCCCGCAGGAGCACAAGCCCATCCCGCACGTTGTGCCGGTGCCGTGGCCTGACTGCTTCAACCCAGCCTCCAGACACTGCTTCCCGGGGGCACTGGGGGTGGTGCACATGAAATGCTGGAAGGGGGCTATTAACGGGACCAAGGCAGCCTGAACTGGCTCAAAATCAGCACCAGCAGTAGCCAAGGGTTGTCACCTTACCCTTGGAGCAATGAGCAGGACGAGGGCAGGCAGCTCCACGACCCCCTGCAGCTGGAAGAGCCTGCTGAGAAGCTGGCTAAGCCTTGAAATGGGAAAAGCCCCTTCCCCTCCTCTGGGGCACACGGAGACTCGTAACTCACAGGCCCAGGGCCAGGGGCACAAATCGGTGCCAGTGGACGACTCTGCACGAGAGAAGTTGTGACTGTAGATAATAACCATCCTGTACCAAGGTGGAGCCCACCCCAACCTCTCCAAACTGGGGTCCAGCTGTCCACCTTGCACACCCACCTCTCCGAGAGGCTCTGCCCAGGGTTTTCCACTCTTGCCTGTTTGAGATGGGCAGCGTATGGGGTACTGGGATGGAGTGGGGAAGCAGACACCTGCTGTCCCACAGAGCTGCTGAAGGAGGAGGAGATGGGGAGGGCACTGGACCATGGGGGAGGGCTGAGCAGCAGCTTATCACTGGCTCAGTGTCATTTATTCTCTCCCTGGAGCTGGAAAGGATCTGGCAGCTCTTCCCAATGTATCCTCATGGTTTGAGGGTCCAGCCTTCTCCAACAAAACCATTACAATTATTGGGGTTGTTTAAGGAAGAGAGAACAAACCCGCATAGAAGAGGTATCCTGACCTCTGCTCTTCTGCCTTTTTTCCTGAAGCAACATTTCCTGACGATCCTACAAACAAACAAATATCTGAAAAGCCTCCCCCACCTGTGAAACATACCCTCTGATAAAACCTCCTGGCCTGTTTTTACTCACCAATGAAGATGTACTTTCCACGATTGAGCGAAATGAGGCGCATGGGTTTGGTGTGGAAATCTGCATCGTCAGCTTTACAGTTTGGCTTTCGGCAGTTCTAGGGGATTGTGGGACACCTGCATCAAGTGCCAAAAAGCCCTCCAAAAAGGTTTGCTTTCAGTAATAAATACAAAATGGTTTTATTAATAAAATAGTAATGGCTTGTTTTACAATACGGTCTGAGAGACAGCTTGTCACTGTCATGGGGGACATCTGCAGGGCCCAGACCCCTGCGGTCGGTCCATCAGGCGCTGCTTTGCCACTGGAACACCATCAGTAGGCAGGTCCCATGTCACCCAGCATCGGGCTGGGACTGAGCACCATACCTTGCCCGGACGTTTGCTGTCAGCGACCGGGCAGGGGCAGCAGCCTGGAGTCCAGGCTCAAATCAGCCCCCTGAAGGCACAGCTTGCTGCTCCGGTAGCTATGGACCATCCTTCTCCTCTCCCCACCTCCAGCCCCATCTCCTCATCCAGCTGCTCCCAGCCTCATTCACCCTCTCTCCTCAGGTCCCGGTTCACTCCCCTCTGACCCTCCCTCACCTGCCCCAAATCCAGCTGTTGCACCCTTGCCTTCCTCCCACACTCCTCCTCCTCCCCCTGCTGTGCTGTGTGGATGCCGGGGAGGCAGGAGCCACAGCTGGGGAGGTGGTGAGACCTGTTCCCACAGTCTGGGGCGCAGCAGGCTCTGCCGCAGGGGGACCTGCATGCATGGGGCGTCCACAAGCTCGCACCTCTTATATGGGTTTATAACCAAATGTATAGAAGTGCAAGCTCAGATCCCTCTGCGCAGCTTTACCTGGGGATGTAGCGAGACACGTCCTGGACATCCAGACTGAATTTCTTGTTATGAAAGCTGCAGACTTTGCAGGTATGTAAATAAAGAGCTAACTATTTACATTTGTATTTTTATGTGGGCAACAGGATATTTTTTTTTTCCCTCATTTCACTCCCTCAGTCAGCAATTTGGCCACTTCTTTATCCAAACAAAACAAGCTTGGCAAAGTTATTAATTGCTCAGAACAAGATCTTTATTGATTAGTATAAGGATCAATCACTTTATCTGCAGGCAGCTCTGTTAGAGCTGCCTGTGACCTGAGTATTTAGCTAAAAGATATCTGTCCTGGTCCCTGGGGAGTTTCACAGAGGAGTCCAAGGTCTCTCCAGTGCTTTTAAAAATACGGCAGGTGGTGGAAAGAATTCAGATGAGGTGAGATGGAGAAGGGCCCCTGTGACCTTCCCTCTAGCCCCAGCAGTCACCAGCAACCCCCTCTTCAAGAGGACTTTGTGCTTCTTCCGGAGGGGGGGCTTTCCTGAAAATCTCTGAACCATGCCTCAAGGGTTACACCGTTTGCAGACCCCCGGGGTTCAAATGAGGCAGCGCAACCTTTGGCTGCGTGGGGCTTGACACTTCGGCCGGGCCTGGCATCGTGGCCGGCTCCCCAGGGTGGCCAGTGGCCACAGGGCTCAGCTCGCAGCGGGGCTGCGCTGGTGGTGCTTACCTAAGCCACAGCCTTTGGAAGGGAGATGGACTATCAGGCTCGGATGCCCAGAAAGCCCTTCTGGCCAGCTGTAACCTCTTCATGCTTCTGTCTGCATTCACAGGGGGTCGTACCTTTTGCGGGAGCCTCTTGCAACCAGGTACCGCTTTCCATCCCCAGCTTCAGGAAAGTCGGACAGCACCGCTCCCCACCCCCCACCCCCCAACTCCATCACCTTTTCTTTGCCTCCCTTTCAAAAGAAGAAGAAAAACCCCAACACATAAATAAATAAAATTACCATTAAAAAAAAAAAAAAAAGAAAAGACGACCAAAAAGGGGCAGGGGAGGGGGGCTGCAGCTGGAGCCGTCTCTGGCAACCCAGCTCTAATCTCCCGCAAACCCCCGCTATCAAAGCTTGGATCAGCATATCTAATGTAAACGAGCTTTCACACATAAATAACGTGCCACATCTGGCTATTTGGTTTTTATAGCGCCTTAGCTACCGAGCGATTTATAGAGGGCGAGCTTGTTAAAGAGCAGCCCGGGCTCGGCCGGGGGAAGTTGCGGGCTGCCCCGCGGCGGGAGGTGTGAAGAAGCAGCGAGGTGGGAGCGGTGGGCGAGGGAGGGTTTTTTGGGGAAGGGGGGGCCGGAGTCCCCGCGCCGGCAAGAAAGCGGCTTCTCCGCATCTTTGGGGAAGGGGGGGCCGGGGAGGAGGGCTCTGCCCCCCGGGGGAAGAGGGGCCGGCTCAGCGGCAGGGCCGGGGCAGGCTTAAAAGAGCCATCCAGGAACCGGCGTGTTTGCGCTTATAACCAATTTATTACCGCCGAACATATGGCCAGTATTTCGCCTGGCGTCACCCGCCGGGGAGGAAAGCAAACAGACCGCGCGATGTA